CTGCCTACCCATAAGCATGCGAAACAGCAAGATGCTGCACGGACGACTTAGCTTGGGACCTGATCTCGGCACTTCAATTCCTCGCCGCCATCCCGGTGGAGAAGCAGGCACCCAACGGCCCCCCAAAAGGCTGGCAAGCCCAGCCACCGGAACTCGAACTTTGGCTTCCAGCTTCTGAGCTGTCTCCCTTGATGGTAGAAAGACCCGGTCAAGAGACAGGGCTCGCCAAAGATATGCGAAAGAAACGGCTGACAAGGTTTCCCACTGTACTGAACCACTGAACACCGACAGCGCGACTGTAATCGACAAAGGATACCACTTGTATGGCACCTCTACGAGTCCAAGCAAATTCGTCCGCATGTCTGGAAGGTCCAGCGCGTGTTGGGTCAACGCACAGAGCCCGATGCTCCACAGCCCATAGTTCATTCGCAGGTCGGCAGAATATCTACCCTGTTTCTGAAGCAGACTCATCAAAAAAAGAAAGAAAAGATTGCTGCCCCCTGTATTCACTAGAAGCCAGACCAAGAACCGCAAGGAACCAAGTTCCTGCTCCAGAAACGGCATGAAGGAGATGGATGCCTGCAGCTCGGTCAGAGCCAGCAGCGCATCTGAGCCGCTGTAGAGGGGTCTGTGCAGTGCTGACAGAAGAACGGGAGCCAACTGCTTGCGCTTCAGGACATTGGCGAGGCAGCAAGCAAATAGCTTCGTCGTCGTCACTCGTGTATCCAGTCCAACTGCATTTAGCAACCAAGGAGTGCTGCTACATGAGGCATAGAGTGCCAAAAGCAAGCGTGTGCCTATGGGGCACTCCGCAAGCTGTGAGAGTGCTAAACCCATCCGTGCCGCCGGATGGTCACAGATCCTCGAGCCACAAATCTGCCCTCGCAGGTGATGCACAGACAGGCATCAAAACACAAAATGAGACCCTGTGAAGCTTGGATCCCGGCAGCAAGATGATAATGCTTGCCTCGAGCCGATGGACAGGATCATGGCTGCACTACAAATTCGACTGGCTTCCATCCTTGTCCACGGCCCTCGATATGTCGCTTCAGAAACCAGCCAAGCATCCGTTCCTTCATGGCATAACGCTGCACAGCTTACCACCCATGCGGCTGTTGTAGGATGCCTCGTGTTCGGGCTTTGCCTTCATCACATACAGGATCTGCTCCGACCTTGCAAATGAGGCTCCGAACACTTGCGGTGCTGACATATACTGACGCCGCTGGCGAAGACAAATCATCGGTACCGAGAGTGCGTAGTTCCGTTGCCCGAGCAGGCCCAATAGACGGACGACGGCCAAATCAGCCATAAGTCAAAGGGAGGCGTGGGCTGCAAATGTCGGGCAAGTCGCTGTTCACATGTGTGCTGCACAACACTGCAGCACCGGTGGCTCGATGACGACAAAAAGACATTACTTGGGACTTAGGAAAGGATCCCTTTTCCATGTCCTAAACGCAAGTCGATGCCACTAGACATACCCGAGCTCCAGTGCACAGTGTTCACCTCGAATCACCCCTCCAACAGGGAGTTGGGGGGGGGGACTCGCCCGAGCAGCCCTTGGACGGAGGTTGCAAAGGGTGGACGCTAGACACGAGCTCTGCAAAAAAAATGCGCGGCGTTATGCTGCTTGCACACACAGCGAACGAGTTTTCAGATTGTCCAATCTTCGGAGCGGACGTATTTTGAACTCACCATGCAGTTCAAGTCGCTCTTTGGGTGACAGGAGATGAGCCAAGGAGTCCTGTCACAGTGCCAGAAGCCCGAGTGACGTCAGCTGGAAAATGTGTAGCCACGCTTGCGTTTTGTCTTCTCAGACTGAGCCGTGGTACAAGCCCTATAGCCCACTCAGATTGCCCGACTCATCAAGCAGCGCACGCTCAAATCATGCTGCGAGTCTAGCCGCCTAGCCCATGGAAGTCCTTGTTCGGCTCCAAGCTCGCGGGCAACGCAAGCTCATTTCTGCAATTCACGCGCTGCCGAAGAAATCCGCTGCAGCACAAACTCACGAGCACAGCTCCCGCCACCAGCCTGAGAGAGTCCAGCTGACGGATCATTCCGCACGAAGTGATCACCTTACGTCGTGGCATGCCGGCCACGTCGCAGAAAAACCCCGAAGCCCGAAACAAATTCCCCCATCGAGGTACATGCCCAGTGCAGGTTGGCATCGAGGTGTCCAGACTGACGTCGCGCAACCAACATTTCAAGTGTCGCGGCACATCATACAGAAATAGTATGGCCACTCTGGCAGCGACTGTCAGAAGATGGACTTTGCGATTTGCGCCTCTGCCTTCAATGTTCTCGCCAGCAATGTTGACACCTACCAGCGTGAAGGCGTCAGTCGCCCTTCAGAGAATTAAGCTCTTCCGCTGTCATCCAAGGAACAGCAGTGCCCGACCCCAAACCCGCTTGTGCGGCATCTTTACCCTATGCCCGTACAGCACTCCAAGCAATGATTTCTCCATGTCGGACAAGTTTTACATCCCGCTCCGGGCGTGCTTATCACAAAATCGCAATTTCTGGGATTCTCGGCAGCTCGCCACACATCTCCAAAATCGAAGAATCTTAAGGGGCTTAGCAAATCCATCTTGGCCGCTCGCTCGTTTGTTCTTAACTTTGCGCAAAGCCCCAGCCTCTAGAAGAAGCTGCAACAGATTGTCGTCCTCAGGCTGCAGACTTGTGACCTAAGCGTTTTCATACATCTCCTCCCATCAAATCTTGAGGAAAGCCGGCCATCAAAGGAATCTGTTGTTGGCAGCGGTGGTCTGATGACTTCGAAGCACAGACATTGAAGCTCATGACACAACGCAGCTCCTGCATAGTCATTGAGATCCAGCCTTGGACTCACAGCTTTCGTGTAAGTCTTGCAGAAGCAACACCCAATCCCTAGCTGTACTTAAGATGCCGAATCTGCTGTGTATCCGTCTAAGCACACGTCGAAGAGTCCAGAGCAATGTCCTTTCAGCCCGACATGCGCCACGTTCAGACTTTCAAGTGCGTCTACCAGTGCGCGAGAAAGTGAGGGACAGCTGGGGCCCCAACCGCTCCAGAGCGGTCTTGTCAGATGACAGCCATCCAGCGTGATGGACCTGCCCATGCGAAGCTGCCCTGCTTCCCTGCTTCGATTTCTCCGGGATGGCCACTGGATGTCACTGGCCTTCACAAGGTTCAGCACGCTGCGGATGAGATCAGCCTCGTGCACCGCATTAGTAATAGGCCAACGGAGTATCTGCGAGGCTCCGCGAGAAAAAAGGCGCCGTCTTTTGGGAGCAAGTTTGGTCAGTTGCAAGCTCAACTCGGGGACATGATCATGGTACAGTGCAGGGCCCCCAGCCCGGGGCTTCAGATACAAGGTACGAAGACACTGTTCAGAACCGGTATTGATCGCTTCCTGTAAAGAGGTCATAAGACTTGCAATTCCGCGCGGAAGATTTCTGGATTTCGGGCCGGGGTGAGGGAAATCCAATCATGCAGCCCTATGCTAATGCGTACACAGGTGAAGTCACCTGGGGCATGTGATGGCAGCTCAGCTTGGGATGGTGGAGAGGAATCTGAGCTGCAGCTGCACGCTCTTCGTGCAGTTGGTGAATTGTGAAAGGCGTGCTGTAGAACACGACGTCTCAAGGTCTCTCACTTGTAGGATTGCACCTTCGAAGACAAAAGTTCGGCCAAAGGGCCCAGCATCTTGTTGAAGGAGAGCCTGGACATGGAAAGTACCTTGGCATTTTCACTCTCCACAATGACACTGCCTGCCCGTGGCTGGTTCTTCAGAAGTGCGAGCTCGCCGAAGTAGTCGCCGACCTTGTAGTCCATAACTCGCTTTGAGCTGCCGTCAATGTCCTTTAAGGCATAGAGCGTGCCTTCCTCAACGATGTAGAACTTGTCACCCGGATCATCCTGCTTGACAATGCAGTCGCCTTTCTGGAACTTCTCCGGCTTCAGAGCATCGGCAATCTGGGAACGCTCGTAGGCTTCAAGTGACGCGAGAAGGGTGACGGACTGAAGGAACTCATCGTACTTATTGCGGCGGGCCACGGCAGCGTCCTTGACGATGTAGTTGAAGGACTCGCGATCAAGCTCCCAGCAAATGCACTCGTCTTTTGCAACCACGGAGGCCGCACGAGGGCAGTTGTAGAGCAAAGCTAGTTCACCGAAGACGTCGCCCTCGTTCACTGTCTTGACAACCTTGTCTTCCCCGTTGGATGCCTTAATGCACTCCAGCTGTCCTTTCTCGATGACGAACAGGAAGTCGCCATTGTCCCCCTCGTTGATGACCTTCTGTCCAGCTGCAAACTTGCACTCCTTCATGGCGCCGAGTATGGTTGTCATGTCTTTGTCCTCCAAGCTCGAAAACATGAAGCTTTTGGAAAGAGTCTGCTTCAAGCGCTGCTTCTGCTCATCCGTCTTCGGATGGTCCGGAGGCGTAAAGGCCTTCTTCTGATTCCATGTCCCGTAAGCCTCTGCACTAACAGAGGTTCGGGTCTTGCCCATACTCTCCTCGGACTTGCGGAATGATTCCGGGATCTCATCACAGTCATCATCGTCGTCTTCCTCCTCTTCCTCTTCTTCGGCCGGTGCGGCTGCAGCTGTGCTAGCTTCTTCCAGAGATCCCTGCAAATAGCGCAGTTCCTGCTTCAGATTATGGTTCTTCTGAAACACGGAGACCCTCTCTGTTGCATCAGCTGCTCGCCCGGTTCGCTTGATGAGCCATTGGATCATGAAGTCCATCGGCACATTTGGCATTTCAGCCAACACATCACTTACCATTTCTTCAAGGATTGGATCCAAGGTCTTGAGGATGTAGTCTTTCTTCTCCTCAGCGAACGGCAGGCCATCTACCACTGACATGGCGTCGCGAAACTTAGAAGGCTGAGTAGCCTTCACAGAGGCCAAGCAGTAGCCTGATCAGACTAGGCTTGAGCACTGAAACGTATGGTTGGCAACCACAGGTGCAGAAGGCCACCACTCAGCAAACAAGCTGTCCGTCCATTGAAGATTTCCAGCACATTGGCAACTAACGGCTGGGATCATCGCTGCGCCGGGCCAGGAAGTGTCTCCTGGGCTCGTGGCCCTTAGAAGCTTAGAACATCTCCGGGGCATCTCGGAACGACTCGGATTCGTAACTTGCTATAACCTTGGGCCTAGGCCGCTGCAAAGCCAGCAGCACTGCCCTGGCCTAGGAAGTCCAGAAGCTTCTGACGCTCAAAGGAACTCGGTGCTCGGGCCTTGGGCCAGCGTGCTTCGACCTTTTCAAGCCAAACTTTTGATTCCTACAGAAACGGCAGAGCTCCGAGTGCCGGGCCATGTCAGCAAACAGCATCTGAAGCCTCTGCCTGCACAGATGACGACAAGAGCCGGGCCGGGGCAAACACTCCCGAAGCACCTCATGTAACCCGACTCCTCTGAGCATTTACTGCGCGGACTTGTCAAAACACTTGACTTGACTGTGCCGGGGGCAAACGAAATGTTTTTTTTTCGCTTGACTATGGCACTATGGAATGCAGAAGGCTCTCTGCAGGCTGCGAAGACCTGCTCCTGAACCCCGGGCAGCTGCCCTTGTCAGCTATCCAGCATCATTGCACCAAATGTTTCCTCCCTTAATGCCTCACAGAAAGGTAAACAAGCGCTTCCACAAACACTTCTTGCCGTGCCCAGCCCAGAAACCAGACTTCTCACTATTACATAGTATTTCGCAGTCGTGCATGCGAGACTGCGGTTCGTGCTTCCTCATGGCGCCTCCGGAGCACAAGCACGTCAAAACAAACTCCGCAGGCTTTGCATGGAGCACTGCGAGGTCTTCTCTCTCCGAAACAAAGATTGATGCGGCACTTGCAAGACATGCAGCTGGCATGCGCGTCGGCGTCCTTCGATGGCGCAGAGGCAACATGGTCTCAGAGTCCGTTCGGACGATCTTAGATTTCTCCTCACATTTTCAATAGCATCGCTGTCCGCAACAGACTGGGCCTAGGAGTTCATCTCCGTCGTGCAGGGTCAGCCGGCGAAGATTGGAGCTGAGAGCCACAGGAAAGAATCTAGTGACTACTGATTCGTGAATGTGGACAGCGATGCAGTCTCAAAGTCGAGGAGTCAAGCTAAGGTGCTAAGTTAGCGCGGGCGCGGGCTTGAAGCAGCCATTCCGCCACTGCAGAGAAGTGTGCTGCCTCTGCGCCGTGGACGGACGCGTGTGTCACACGAAAGTCTTGCAGGCACGGAACTCTTGAAACTTCTTTGCTGAAGAAATTGTCGTGCTGCCTCCTAGGGGGAGATCAAACTTGGATTTCGCTTGCCGGCACTCACGCGGTGCGTCGTTCAGGGCTCATTTTCCAATACAATGTGCGCGAAGGTCGAAGTCGTTCGCACTCGGGACTGAAGGTGCTAAACAGCGGAGAAACCCATGGCTGCCTGCATGAGGGCAGCAAATCTGCAACTCGTAGCGAGACTGAGACCAAAGCCTTCGTGGTAAGTGCAGTGGCAGCTGATGCTGAGAATTTATACAAACGATCTCGTGTCTGCTGCACCCCGTTTGCGGAGAAAATGAGGTCGCGTCCCTGACTGTGACATCAGCATCATCCAGCCTGGCAGACAATGAGCAGAAGAAGCGAACACTTCCCCATGAAGCATCCTTGCAAACCGCCGCCAGTCGCGCATCCGGATCAAGCTGACATAGTCGAGGTATCCTGGTGCAACAGCAAAACGAGCCCGACCCTCACAATATCTGCATCGTGCACAAGTTAGATTGATACATCGCTTCTCCAACCGATCCACAGCCGGAAGGAACTACAGAAAGTACAGGAAAAGAGACGGTGCGAAAAAGAGGCACTCCTGGAACCGACTGCCGATCCCAAGGCAGTGTCAGAAAAGCATAGACCTGAGGCCAGGCTCAGGAGGACCCGCTTTGACATGAGCAAAAACACCCCCCCAAAGCCCCAAACAAGCCTAAACCCTAATCCAAAAATCCCGAAACCCTCATCCCTAAACCCTAAACCCTGATGGCAGCAGAAATGTAGAGAAAGCTGCGCTGTGTTGGTTTCAAGGCCCTGGCAAGGCCCAGAATCACAGAGTCCCGCTTGTTGGATCCGTCCTCAACATGTATCGTCCAGCCGAATGTTGCAACATGCCCGAACTTCTCAACATTGCCCGAAAGGCTTTCGCACCCAATCAAGACACAAGGAAAACAGCAATGCGTTTAACCGGCTCTGAGACCCTGACCGCTAGAGAAAACAGCTCCGTCAGGACCATTCCATGTGGAGCGCAGGGATCTCCAGGGTCAACGCGTGAGGTGCACTAAGCTTGCTTGAAAGACACCCCGAGGGGGCTCATACTTCTAAACCTCCTACGCTTCTACGCGGCCTGCTGTGTATTGCTCCAAGTTCAGGCCGTGCCGGAGAAGCACCTCGGTCTCAAGCGACGAACTCCGAAGCCTTCGATATCTGCGGTCAACGAGCTTGTTTCGTGCTGGCTTGTAGCCTAAGCAGCTGACTGTTTGAAGGCCTGTCCAGGAGCAACTAAGAGGCCTCTACCACAAGTTGCGAGTCGAGCCTGCAAAATGAAGTCGGGCAGCCGCTTCGACGGCATCGGGCGGCTCCAGGGGCCTCCAGAGCAAAGGCAGAGCAAAGAGGGAGCCAGAGCCCACCAAGTCCCGCGGAGCCTGGGCCTGTACCAGCCCAGGGGGCTCAGGGCCAAGGGCGGGATGTTGGCCTGCCGGAACAAGGCCAGACGCCCCTGGGCGCCCAGGCGACAGGATGGCGGTGCTGGTCGGTCCTCGCCTCCATCGGCCATCTCTGTGACGAGAAAACAAACCAGTCCGTTGCATCCGTTGCTCCCTTGCGCTGTCTGAGTTCTGACTGCTTTGCGGCTTGCAAGTGGATTGCTGGGTCGTGCGGTGTCAACTCATGGGTTCTGATACATGGCTCCAGCATTCAGCTGCCCATGGAAGAGCAACCTTGCCATTCTCGGTGCATCGACAATGCAGGAATAGTGTAGCACGAAAGCATCTGGCGCACGGAATTTTATGCTAAGTTCAGCATCCGCTCTGCCGCATCAGTTTCCGAAGAGAGCTTATAATGTCCGTTGCAGCAGCTCATGCTTGGAACGGAGCCACACATTCTGAACACTGTGCTGACAGGTGCAGGCACGTCCCTAGCAAAGCAGCAACGTGGTGTGAAACTTGTCTTGGCAGTAGAGCCGCTAAAAACCCGCTAGACTTCTCTTGATCACGACTCGTTTGAGCCGCACCACCTGCTTCAGTGATGGCATCTGAGGCATGTGTCACCACGTGGTTAGGAATCTGATGTCGATTTTGCTCAACCCTGATCGCATGTCATGCGGTGGAAGGAGAGCTCTTCGCTTGTTTCTCGCTTCCATGATTCGGCTGAAAAGTACTGCAAGGATCTGCAGTATAATCTCCGCCAGTTTGCTAGGCCGTATGCCCGTTTCAGCACGGCATCTTCGCAGTACAGTAAGCATCAAGCCGTCATCAAGTAAGCAAGTAAACAAATGCGTCAGATGTACCCAGCATAGTACAGGCGCCAGGTTGTGAGACATACTGCTGAGAGCTCCACGTCACACAAGAGGTCAAAAAACGTCTTTTGAAACCTTGGAGGAAGACACAGCCACGGGTCGATAAACGATGCTCATGCGACGAGAACATGTAGCTGCCATCGATGCCGAATCAGTAAACAAACAGTGAAGGACACAACACTGCTGCCGCGAAACCTTCTAGCAGCATCGAAGTCCGTCATGTTGCTGCCACTTGAACCAGAAAGGAGAAGAGGCAAGACTGCGCACAGAGCTAGGAGGAAGGCGGTCGCTGCCGTGGTTTTCCAAATACTCTTCAGGAATTTGGCCAGATCGGTCCTGCGCGATGAGAGGCTCGTCTTGCTCCTACAGCCTTCCTAGCTTGCCTCCTCGCAACTTTGCCTGAAGCTTGTCCCTCCCCCCACTTCTGTCCTTCTCACAGAGTCGATGCCATAGGCACCGGTAGCGAGTGCTGCGGTCACCCAACAAGTTGTCAATACAGCCCCGTGGGACAGTATCGCTTTGCTTGAACCGGTATCCGTGGTGTCCCAGAGCAGTGTCCACTGGGGTGTATAGACGCCCGTCTGTGCCAAGACCACGATGATCAAAGCAGGCACGATGATGCCAGAGACAACCATGTCGCCCAGCAGTAGCCTTCGAGATACAGGGGCGGACTCCTCCAGCTCATCCAACCTCGTGGCACATTGAAAACCTCCCGTCGCATGGGTTTGCATGTCAAGACCTGCCAATTTGGCTAAGAGTCTCTTCCACGTCTGCTTCCTCCTCATCCCCTGCAAACTGGAGAGTTGTAGAGTATCCAACAACTCAAGCTTCTGATGGTGTGCTCTCTCGGTGACTGCTTTGATGGAAGAACTGCAAGGTTCATGGGCTCTCGCCCTTCCATGGCATGAGCAAAGATGCGGTCCCAAAATGCAGTCCCAAAGTAACTTCCTCCTCTCATGCCAGGTCGCTAAGTATGTAGAAACAGATTCGAAGAAAGAACGAGCGAACACAACTTTGGTCGCACGCTCATGTAGACTGTTCTAGGTGTGCGCAGCACATTACAGTACCATGTCATGACACAGGCACAAAGTGGCTCCATCCATGTCCAGAAGCTCTAACCCCACATGGACATTCAAGATAATGACATCATTCAACAAAACATACCACACCATGCAATCTGCGATATTGACCAGCTCACTGCTTTGCCTCACCACGTACCTTATGACCACGCATTAATGAGCATGCGCACTCATACAAATGTTCTCAGGCGCACTCGCATGGACATACAGTGCATGTACGCAGGCATACATGTATTCTTGCATGCCCAGATGCACTCATGGACATACACACACAGAGAGTTTTTGTACATATGCACATGCAATCATCTGCACCCATATGCCCCATGCATAGGTGTGTAAAAAACATGTAGACAGACAGATACACAGGCTGGTTAGGCTAGTCGGTTCCTTTGTTCGAAACGCTGTTCTCGCGATGTTCCCGCTGTCCATGTATGCGCGCACTTGGTTCGCATTGCCTTGCCCGGAGTAGCACTGCACAGACATGTGTGCTAGGTTCTGGCACCAGACAGTGTGGATCGTCCATTTACTTACCTGCGCCGCCATGGCACCTTCTTCCCTATAAAGATTACGCCAGTACGCCCCACAGTGAGGTCTTGATTGTCATTATGATCTTGATTGTCATTAAGACTGCAAGGATTGCCATTTCATGCCGATTGCCTTCTGGCCTTCTGCTGCTAGAATGCCATTGGAAGTTCGCTTGACCTTGGACTTCATGCCGACTGATTACGAGCATCTGCACCAGACCAGACCGTCAAATTCAGGTCGATGTATTCACTTTCACTGCTACGATCAGACCTGCAGAGGAGGATTTGGTCTCCTTAGTTCTCTCCTACCTGACCCTATATATGATCCCGGTTCCGGGT